CTTTTAACGAATACTTTCTTGCATATGATATATATATATATTAAAAGTATTTATAAAATAAATTTATAAAATGAGGTAGGTATCTACGCCTATGGCAGATCAAACCAAATTGTCGGTAAAGGTTCCGAACGAGTTTTTATGTTCTGCAATTGATAATGGAAGAACTATGTACTCGTAGCGAAAGGGTTAAACTCTTGTAGTTTGTATTACCTTTTGACTGATTTTTGTGTGGACAGTTTGAACTGGGTTGGTAATCCTTTGCCGGAAAAATTTTAATATTAAATTTTTAAGGATTCTAGCTTGATCATATATGCCAACATAAATCTCTTTTTTAATCAATTATTGTTAACTTATAATAATTTTTTCTACGCCCACATGGATATTAGCTTATCTACCTACGCTTAGATTACAAAACGAAAAAGTATACTATTGCTGAACGAATATATTTGATATCCATTCTAATCATTAACCAGTTTAAAATTAATACTAAACAAGAAGACTTTAAAAATGTCATATCAACCTTGAATGCCAAAGAAATAAATTGGCATTCCTGTAAAATTAAACAGAACAGAGACATTAAAGTAATGGTTAGAGGTCTAACATCTACATCTAAACCAGAAGATATTGTTGAAAACTTCCATAGTCAAGGATTAAAATGTAAAGAAGCTGTCAATATAATAAAGAGAAAATAGAATTAACCGTGGATAACACTCGTAAACTAAATAAAAAACCATTGCCGGTATTCATGCTATCATTCGAAAATATTAAAGATATTAAGAAAATCTACAAAATCAAAGCAATACTTAATCTAAGAATTAGAATAGAAATCATAGGAAAGTTAAAACTAGTTCCGCAATGCAAAAACTGCCAACTATTTGGACATACACACAACTTTTGCAAAAGAGAATCAAGATGCGTAAAGTGCATAGGAAAACATCATACGAAGGATTGTATAAAAAGTCCAGAACAACAACCGAAGTGTATAAACTGCCTAATGGAACATCTTGCTAACTACAGAGGATGTGAGGTAGCAAATACCTTTCAGATAAGGAAGGGAAACACCACTAAACCCAAAATAATGACGAGGCAGAAGAGATCCATAAACGCTTTTCCTACTGTCAAAAATGAAATAACATATTCTCAGGTAACAAACTCACAGCAGCAATCAATTCAAAGTTCACAACCAGCCATGAATCTCACGCCACAAATTGCACAGCATACTGCACAGTCAACTAGCTTAGCAGAAAGTACTACTCATGAATTATTATTGTCCAGAATAAATTTACTCTCTGACAGGATCCAGAAGCTGGAAGAATTAAATAAACCCCAAACATATAACAAAACCACCAATGGACAAAAGCGATATTAGAATAGCCACTTGGAATGCCAATAGTATTCTCCAAAAACAAACTGATATCAAAGTTTTCTTGGATGTACAAAAAATAGATATATGTCTGATCTCTGAGACCCACCTTACAACAGAATCATACATTAAATTCAGAGGCTATAACTTCTATCACACTATCCATTCCTCAAATGCAGCAAGAGGAAGAAGTGCGTTAGTTATTAAAAATAACATTTCACACTATGAGGAACCAGGCATCCAAGAACCAGAAAATCAGGTAACCATTAGCACCATTAACATTAAGGGGGGCAAAATTACAATAGCTGCAATCTATTTCCCACCATGATGCAACCAGAAAAAAAGAAAATTATCTCAATGTACTCAAAAAACTAGGTAACAAATTTATAACTCCAAAAACACCAATTGGGGTTCAAGATTAACCACAGTCAAAGGAAAAGAATTGCACCTAGCTGCATCAGAACTTGGTTGTACATACCAGTCTTCTGAAAAACCCACCAATTGGCCCACCGACCCAAATAAGATTCCAGACCTTTTGAATTTCTTTATTCTGAGGAAAATTTCACCAAACTATACACAAGTAGAAAAAACTTTGATATGGATTCAGACTATTCTGCAGTAATCCTCACTCTAAGTGTAACGTTAATCAAAAATGTTATTCAAAAAGAAGCCAAACCGACCCTAGCAAATCGGAAAACTAATTGGGAAGGTTTTCAAGAGGACTTAATAAATACTATTCAACTGACCATAACATTAAAAACGAAAAATCAGCTAGATGAAGAACTGGAAAGGTTTATAGTTGAAATCCAGCAAGCTGCATGGAGGAATACACTGAAAGTAAGAAGATTAACAGCTGGAAAAAACTATCCTGTCTAGATAAGAGAACTAGTAGCAGAAAAAAGAAAACTAAGAAAGAAATGACAGATGATAAGATAAAAATATATTAAATATGGCTACCCAAAGACTGAGAAGAGAAATCCTAAATCACAAAAAAGAATCCTTCAACAGATACCTAGTAGGGCTAACAGATAATAAAGAAACTGATTATTCACTCTGGAAGGCAACTAAAAAGATGAAAAGTGCATGTTAACACTGTCCTCCTATCAGAATAGCAGGTAACAAATGGGTAAGAGACAATCAACAAAAAGCTGATATTTTCGCTGACCATTTACAAAAGACGTTTCAATTAGATCAAAATCAAGACACTCCTAATGAGACCATCCATAATATGGAACAACTTGAAATTAAGCTAGTTACTCCCAATGAAGTTACGAAAGAAATTCAGACTAACATCAACTCACAGAAAGCCCCAGGATATGACCTTATTACTGAAGAAATATTAAAGAAACTATCACGGAAGACTATTGATAAATTGACATACCTCATAAATGCAGCATTTTGCCTTAAATATATACCTGATGCGTGGAAAATGGCTGAAGTTATCCTAATTCCTAAGCTAAGAAAACCTCTGAATGAAGTGTTACCGATAATATCTAAGTTATTTGAAAAACTACTACTAAAACGACTAAAACCAATAATTGAAAATAAAAATCTGATCCCTTCGCACCAATTTGGTTTTAGAAATAAACACTTAGATCAAGTACACAGGATAGCCGATATCATCGAAAAAGCTTACGAAGAAAAATATATATGCCCAGCTATATTTCTTGACGTAGCTCAAGCATTTGATAAGGTTTGGCCCGCTGGCCTGATACAGAAACTAGAAAAAATGCTCCCTAGACAATATGTCGACATCCTACAATCATATCTAATGGGAAGAATGTTTAAAGTTAAGCAAGATGAGGTATACTCAGAAATAAAAGAAATTAAAGCAGGTGTCCCACAAGGCAGTGTGCTAGAACTAGTTCTTTACTCAATATACACCAGCGATATCCCTCAACAACAATCTGTTAAAATAGCAACATTTGCGGATGACACTGCAATATTGGCAGTTGGCAAAACTAATACAGAGACCTCATAAAAACTTCAGGGAACCTGCAACAGAATCAATCGATGGACAAAAAGTGTAAAATAAAAATAAATCAAACTAAATCAGTGCATGTTGATTTTACTCTTCGACCAAATGAACAAAAACAAATAAGAATAAACAATGACGTTATTCCACATCACGATTTGGCCAAATACCTAGGGATGAACCTAGATGTAAGACTTAAATGGAAAGAGCACATAAAAAAAAGTGTAGGAAGAAAATCCAAATTGTCAGTGCACAAGAAACTGCTGATTTATAAACAAATCCTAAAACCAATCTGGATTTATGGCATACAGCTATGGGGATGTGCCAGCAAGAGTAATATCAACATGATACAAGTTTTCCAAAATAAATTCCTAAGATGCATTGTTGATGCACCTTGGTTCTACCGAAACGATTATCTTCATAGAGACCTGAAGATGCCAACAATTGAAGAAGAAATAAAGAGGTTTGCTGCGAAACATGAGGGTCGACTTCACTCCCACGTCAACGAAGAAGCGCTGCATTTACTGGACAACTCTACACTCAACAGAAGGCTCAAAAGGAAGAAGCCATTTGAGCCAGTGCAGTGAACGTTAATGTTAGTGCTAGTGTAAAACAGTGTAATAAATCGTCACGCCAACTTGTGATGCTTTCCTATAGAAACAATTAAGACGGCCCAATGGGGACTTCTTAGATAATTAATTAGTTTATAAGTTTTTAGATTAAAATTGTAGGTTAGTCAGTAATGACTAGTAACAATACTCTAACAAAAAAAAATCTAGATAGTGAGAACACTGCAAAAATATGAAATCCTCCAATCATCGTTCATATTTTGATCAACCGACTGCTATTATTTCAAATTCTGTTAAACTAATTGTCAGTATATTTTTTAGTTATTAAGATTAATATACATGAAAATGGGTTATTCTTGTGTAGAATCGATAAATAATAGCATTTCTGATTTTATTTCATCTGTAATTAAAAATAATTTGTTAATTTAAATAAAACTATAGAAAGTCAATTTAATTACGAGTATTAAAGCAACAAAAATAAAAGAATAGGTGGTCTTATGGTTAGCGTTCTTGCCTTTCATACTGAAGACTCGAGTTCGATTCTCGAATAGGAAAAAATGGAATTAACTTTTTTCTTTTTTTTTTCGTTTATTTTATTTTCAAAATTAGTTATTTTGTCTTATTAAACTAAAATATTTATTAATTTTCGTTAGAGCTTCGTAGAAAGAATATTCTGTACAACTCGAGTGGATTATCCACATCGCACTCAGACGATTGAGCACTTTGCCTACGGCATCGTGCTCAAATTTTGTCTTCATGCGATGTGGTCATCATATTCACTCTTGTAGCAGAAACTGCTATTTCATCACATTTATTTACACAGTCACAAATTTATTGTAGATAAGCACATACGCATATGTATACTCATTTTGGACAGGTATTCTTTTTCTGCAGGTTTAAAATGCCGTTAGGACATTCCAAACTGGTATTGTATTAGTATTAATGGAACAAAAAACAAAGATAAACTTAAAGAAATTAAAATTGAAAACATAAAAAATAACTAAAAGAAAGTAGCATACAAAGACATAGACAAACCAAAACCTTGAAAAAGGACACTAAGAGACCAAAAAACTACAATTCTTTGGTTACTTACCGAATCCGCTGAGATTTCTGACAAGCAAAGAAAAAAAAGTAAATATAGAATGAACATATCTATATATTGTATGAAAATACGAAACTATATATTATATGGCTTCGTATATTAAACTATTCGATAATAAACTATAAAACTAGTATATATATGCATATATTTTTTTCTCAATTTATAAATTTTTTCTGGCAATTAAATTCAACTTTTAAACATTTAATGATATATTAATCAATTAAATATTTATAATTTATTAGTAATTCTAAATGTAATTTTATTTAATGCTTTTATTTAGATTTTTATGGCTTTGTACATTTGTTTGAATCTACCGTACCCTTTGATTAGACACACACGAGCCTTGGTAACAAAAATATTTTTTTCTACGATCACTATCCAAAGTATGCTTTTTCGTTTCGAAATCGAACCGCAAAGTTGACATATAATATAACAATATTTCTTTTTAATAAATGATTTTCAAGTCATCTGTACGAAGTTACATGTTTTTTTGTTATATTATCCAAGTTAACATGGACTTTGAACTGCTTTTTTTATGATTAACGTAGCAGCCTCAAGATTTAAAAATTTACCTATTTTATATAATAGATTTTAAATTATAATCTACGTAATAGCTATTTATGAAACCCGTTGCGAAGTGCCTTATTTTATGCAACGAGTGAATATTTGCGGGACGAACAGAGCGAGGTCCTGCAACATAAACGAGTTACATCTAGGCAATTAATATTACTACTTTTTTATATTGTTAGTTGCATATTATTACCTTCATTCTTTTATTGACAAATATAAAATAATAGAAATTTATTTTCAACGACTTGTGTGTGTTTATATTGTTTGTTAAAGTTATTTTGTATTTTAAGAAAGTGGATTTCTTTGTCTAGTTATATTCCCAGAAATACATTGTACATATGAGAAATGCCGTTCTGCTTATTTTGTTTTATTTACCTTGACAATAAAATGCGAGTGCAAATCTGAGCATTTGAATTTTTATATTAATATTTTTATTTTAATATAATTCAGTTTATATTTTGCTTTGTAGTATAGTAGAACTCAAAACATTGTTATTTTTCAAAAATAGTTTTTTTTAAAAGACTTTGTAATCCTACAATCATTTAACTGGCGCAGTCAGTAGGATTGTCACGACGAGAGGCGACAAAAATTGCGTTTTTCGGTCGATTTAAATCGTTTGGGTAAGCGAAGTTTTTGAATAAACGAAGTTTTGAAAAATCGTTCTGGTGGAGGACAACATCGCCAAAGCCAAGACAACAGAAGGACAAAATCACCCGAACCGTCTACCGCTTAAGAATTTTCAAGAAGTTCCAAAGAAAATACCAATGCAACTTCTGACACTAGAACTGTAAGTCATTTCCTTTTTATTTTTTCTTGTTTACCTTTTTATTTCAAAGTGATAATATTGTTTTAAGTTTTGTACGATTGTTATTTTCATTAAAAATAAATAGTAATTTTTTATGATCTCAGATATAGACGATTTAATTAGTAGTTTTAACAGAATTTTTTTAGAAGACATAGACACTAACATGGCTAATTAATTATCAATTATTAAAATTAAATGTAGATATTATTCAAAGTTATAAAGGAAACCTACATACTTTATGAGTTTTCTTAGATGCTTGTGAAAATTTAGTTACTAGTTTTTTCGATAGAACTAATCCACAAATCAATAATTTTATTTTAAGAGCTATAATAGGTAAATTAACTGGAAGAGCTTTAACTTCAATAAGTTCTCGAATAGAATTAACAACCTGGGATCAAGTAAAAAGTGCTTTACAATTATGTTTCGGTGATCAAGGGAATTTAGATTGCTTAATCCAAGATTTAATAATTTTAAATACTTACAAAAAAGAACCTCTATAAGGAGGAATGCGATGCCAAGATGCACTGGACTAAACAACTGTCAGACATAAATCTTATGCAATAAATGTCAGATGTAAATGTACGTTTAGAAACCCTAACAGCTTAGAAAAAGCGATGTCCCCAGTTATCGAGGAAGAACATTTTCTTTATAGCCAGAATAGAAGTAATTCCCTTAATTTTCCAAATACTTTTAAACCTTCTCAAAGAGTAGATGCAATGAAAAATGTTAATACATCTTCATCACAACATGTTAACCCAAACAATAATAACACCGGCACACAAAAAAAAAGTTGTCAGTACTTTTGACAGGACCGGTAGATCTTTATGTATTTCGACCCGCTGAATCCGAATCTGAGATCCATTTGACCCGTACACCGTCAAATTTTCAAGAAAACTTTGAAAAACCGAAAAAAATAACGAAAATCGGTAGTTGGCAGTTGGCAGTTGGCCTATAAAAATAGAATCTGGTTAAACCTACAACCTAGTAATAATGTTGTTTTGGTCCTTATTTTTCATTCTTAATCGGCACAAAATAATTAAAACAGAATAATACACAACAAAATAACCCACTTTTTAAACACTAAATAACTTTAATAGGCCATATAAGTCGTTGAGAATAAATAAATAATACGTTCTACTTGTCAATGAAAATGTAGCATATGCAACTAAAAATACAAGAAAGTAGTAATATTGGTTGCCTAGATGTCAGTAACTTCTTACCAAAACATAATTTTATAAATAATCTAATTAAAATTAGAAAAAATATTGTATTCAACACGCTACGAAATGCCGTTTTATGGATCTCATTTATGTTGCAGGACCTCGCTCTGCTCGTCCCTCAAATATTTACTCGTTACATAAAATAAGGCATTTCGTAACTGGTTTCATGAATATCATTTCGAAACCAGATTCATAATGCAACTCATTGCGTAAAGTAGATCATTTTAACACTTGCTGCGATCTGCGATTACAAAAAATGTCACTTTATCTGTCAAGATAAAAAATGTATTATTAAGCGGCTCAGTAAATGTATAGAACACCGTTATAATAATAATAATAATAATAATAATAATAATAATAATAATAATAATAATAATAATAATAATAATAATAATAATAATAATAATAATAATAATAATAATAATAATAATAATAATAATAATAATAATAATAATAATAATAATAATAATAATAATAATAATAATAATAATAATAATAATAATAATAATAATAATAATAATAATAATAATAATAATAATAATAATAATAATAATAATAATAATAATAATAATAATAATAATAATAATAATAATAATAATAATAATAATAATAATAATAATAATAATAATAATAATAATAATAATAATAATAATAATAATAATAATAATAATAATAATAATAATAATAATAATAATAATAATAATAATAATAATAATAATAATAATAATAATAATAATAATAATAATAATAATAATAATAATAATAATAATAATAATAATAATAATAATAATAATAATAATAATAATAATAATAATAATAATAATAATAATAATAATAATAATAATAATAATAATAATAATAATAATAATAATAATAATAATAATAATAATAATAATAATAATAATAATAATAATAATAATAATAATAATAATAATAATAATAATAATAATAATAATAATAATAATAATAATAATAATAATAATAATAATAATAATAATAATAATAATAATAATAATAATAATAATAATAATAATAATAATAATAATAATAATAATAATAATAATAATAATAATAATAATAATAATAATAATAATAATAATAATAATAATAATAATAATAATAATAATAATAATAATAATAATAATAATAATAATAATAATAATAATAATAATAATAATAATAATAATAATAATAATAATAATAATAATAATAATAATAATAATAATAATAATAATAATAATAATAATAATAATAATAATAATAATAATAATAATAATAATAATAATAATAATAATAATAATAATAATAATAATAATAATAATAATAATAATAATAATAATAATAATAATAATAATAATAATAATAATAATAATAATAATAATAATAATAATAATAATAATAATAATAATAATAATAATAATAATAATAATAATAATAATAATAATAATAATAATAATAATAATAATAATAATAATAATAATAATAATAATAATAATAATAATAATAATAATAATAATAATAATAATAATAATAATAATAATAATAATAATAATAATAATAATAATAATAATAATAATAATAATAATAATAATAATAATAATAATAATAATAATAATAATAATAATAATAATAATAATAATAATAATAATAATAATAATAATAATAATAATAATAATAATAATAATAATAATAATAATAATAATAATAATAATAATAATAATAATAATAATAATAATAATAATAATAATAATAATAATAATAATAATAATAATAATAATAATAATAATAATAATAATAATAATAATAATAATAATAATAATAATAATAATAATAATAATAATAATAATAATAATAATAATAATAATAATAATAATAATAATAATAATAATAATAATAATAATAATAATAATAATAATAATAATAATAATAATAATAATAATAATAATAATAATAATAATAATAATAATAATAATAATAATAATAATAATAATAATAATAATAATAATAATAATAATAATAATAATAATAATAATAATAATAATAATAATAATAATAATAATAATAATAATAATAATAATAATAATAATAATAATAATAATAATAATAATAATAATAATAATAATAATAATAATAATAATAATAATAATAATAATAATAATAATAATAATAATAATAATAATAATAATAATAATAATAATAATAATAATAATAATAATAATAATAATAATAATAATAATAATAATAATAATAATAATAATAATAATAATAATAATAATAATAATAATAATAATAATAATAATAATAATAATAATAATAATAATAATAATAATAATAATAATAATAATAATAATAATAATAATAATAATAATAATAATAATAATAATAATAATAATAATAATAATAATAATAATAATAATAATAATAATAATAATAATAATAATAATAATAATAATAATAATAATAATAATAATAATAATAATAATAATAATAATAATAATAATAATAATAATAATAATAATAATAATAATAATAATAATAATAATAATAATAATAATAAT